TACCCCAGTCACCATGACCTCGCTTTTAGAAAAATTGATTTTAAGGCCCGACAAGGCTTCAAAGCAAAGGAGAAGAAATTTCAGATTCGTGATGGAATTATCATTAAGTTCAACCATAATGATGGCGTCGTCCGCATACTGAAGATGAGAGATGCCATTAGGAATAAGGTGGGAGCTAACCGGCGAGATGTGGTCAGCAGCCGCTGCACGGGAGAGTGTGTGAGATAAAGCATCAGCCACAAAATTGAAGAGCAAGGGAGATGCCGGATCTCCTTGCCTCAGGCCCCTACCGTTCGCAAAGAAATTACTGGTCTGGCCATTGACAGCCACCGCCGTGTGCCCACCAGAAACCAGTTGCATCAGGCGGTGGACCACCGAACCATCGAAGCCCTTGGCCAACAGAACCTGGCGGAGAAAACTCCAGCTGACTAAGTCATACGCCTTTTCGAAATCAAGTTGAAGGACCACATCCTTGGTTTTCTTACAGTGAAGGTCATGGATTATCTCATGTAGGCAAAGCACCCCGTCCAGAATGAATCTACCCTTAATGAATGCGGATTGAAAGGGGCTAATAACCCGATGGGCGATCGGAGAGATCCTAGTAGCCATCCCCTTGGCAGGAATCTTAGCAAAATTGTTAATCAAAGCAATGGGTCTAAATTGGGAGATCAAGTCAGCACCTTTGACTTTAGGGATGAGGGTGAGAACTGCATAGTTAAGTCTGGAGATGTCAACCGTCCCCAACCAAAAGCCTTGAGATATAGCCATAATTAAGCCCTTTAGCTGAGGCCAGAATTGCCGGAAGAAAGGAATGGAAAAGCCGTCAGGCCCAGAGGCCGCATTTGGGTTGCCAGTGCGTATCGTCTCGAAAATTTCCTCTTCCGTGGGAGGGGTCAGCAAACTCTCATTATCAGCGAACGAAAGCTGGTCCAGAGAAGACCAAAAGGACGAGGCCAAATTAAAGCCTACCACGGGTTTATCAACTAGGAGGTTAGAGAAGAAATCAACCACGTGACGCATAATCACCGAGGGGTCAGAGACCCTGACGCCGTCTATCACAAGGCTATCAATAATGCATCTCTGGCGCCTGCTGTTAGCAATCGCAAAGAAGTAAGACGTAGGAGAGTCACCCTTTAAGGTCCAGTTGATAGTACCACGCTGTTTCCAATACACTTCCTCTTGCCTATGAATGCCCAGTAGCGCCTCTTCTAAACCATACCGAGTTTGCCATTCAGTCAAGGACAGCCCAGAACTATCGGCGCATTCATCTAAAACACCAATTTGAGCCACCAACCTAGCTTTGTCACGCCTTGACTCAACGTAGTGATTTTTAGACCAGCCTCTAAGGAATCGACGCAGAAAATAGGAGCATTGATGCCAGTCATCCATGGGGCCAAAAGAGCGACGAGTAGAGGACAGGAAAGATAGGATCTTTTGAGCCACCAACTCATTAAAACCCTCCACTTGTAGCCATGAAGCATCAAACTGGAATCTCAGGAAACCCACTGGGCGCGAACCATCATCTAGAATCAAGGGGGTATGATCAGAGCCAACACAGGCAGGGCTCTAAGACTGACCCGGGGGAATAAAGAATCCCACCTAGGGCAAACAAAAACCCTATCAAGAACAGAGCGAATAGGGGGAGTGATGGTTAGACCAAGTGAAACGGGCTCCAACCCTAGGAATCTCACGAATAGCCATGTCCCTAATGAAAGCATTAAAAGCATCAGCCAGGGGCCAAGAGAAGTTGGACGAGCTCTTGTTAGAAGGAAAACGAAGCATGTTAAAATCGCCCCCGATCAAGAGGGGTAGCTGGCATGATTCAATTTTAATACTAATCTCATCCAGGAAGGCATAAGACATCGCGTGGTCACCCGGACCATAAACCACCATGATCTCCAACAAGGAGTTGAGGAATCGCAAAGAAACCACCATGCTAGCCCAAAAAAATGCCATGGTCGAAAGTCACAAAATCAAAAGTATCTTTTTTGGCACCAAGCAGAAGACCACCGGAGTGCCCAGCCGAGGCCACATAGTTCCAATGGAATATGTCTATCCCAGCAATGCCCGATAATTCATTGGAGGAAAAGGAAGATTTGATAGTCTCGACAAGGCCAATAAATTCTACGTTTTCGGATCAGACCAGGTCTTTAAGTTGGTCCCTGCGCCCCTAGCGCCGAAACCACGAATATTCTAGAATAGGGCCTTCATCTAAAAGATAGGTTTTTGATACGGAGACTCGACCTGCTCGGCGCCATGCAGGATTTAGCACGCTTCCTTGTCACACGAATAGAAGTCACTGAGGGAGCTTGACACCTGTGAACTCCCCCCTCATCCCCACCGGCCACAACCGAAGGAGCGCCCGAACCCACCCGAATCTCCTTGGCTTTTGCAATATCAGCCTGGGCAATTTCATTTTCCCTAATAACACCAAGAATAGATGAGGGGGAACCCATGCTAGAATCTAAGCAAATACCAACATCATCTAGAATTTTGAGCAAGTGATCATCAGTTTGAGAAGGAAGAACTAAACGCATAGGAGAGGCAGCCGTGGGGAAGGGGGGAGGGGCTGGGGACGAACCTGAAGGAGGCAGATCCCGAGCCGCAGCACGCCGAGCCGCCCGATCGACCACCCGCTCGCCGCTGTTGGAGACGCGGTCGCTCTTGCGGGCCGTAGACGCAGGCGAGCGCACAGGAACAGGACGAGCGCGACTGGGAGAAGCCGCAACAGAGGACGGGCCCGAAGCCGCACCCAAATCAACATCAAGCCTGCAATGTGTTGTCTGTTGGATATGAAATTGTGGTGAACATTTGTTTTTGTGGTGAACATTTGTTGCATATGAAATGTGAATTTGCTTTTGCATGGCCAGGGATTAGATAATGAGAAAATAAAACTCATTGCGTGCATGCTATTGTTCATTGCATTTCACATGGTTGCGTATAAGAGAGCATGCACAATGAACACATACAACACACACGATTGTGACACATATAACGTGTGCGATGAATGAATCAGCACATACAACTGTGACATAGGCAGCATGTGTGATGGATGGACCAACACACACGTCCATCCAACGAATCATGTGCAATGAATACAATCATCCCACACAATTGTGCTTCTCCAGAAAGGTGCAAGGGGGTATATAACAACACACGATACCAAGATAATAATCATGTGTGATGTACAATCTATCTCACACGTAAAGTTCTGGCTAAATATGTGTGGTAGCTCGTAACATTACACACGTTTCCTCCATGCCTATCGTGTGAGATGGGTTCCCCTATTGTACACAGATATTCGGTATAGTGTGCGAGCACCCCCTATCACACACCATCGCAAGGTGACGGTTTGCATCTCCGTGTATGATATGGGTTGCAATGGAAAAAATCTGCACTAGTCGACATTGGGTCTTCGTGGGCTTGAGGGTGTTGAATAGATTTACTCCTATAGTTTGTACATATGAGAAACATCAAAAGCATCAAAAGCATAAGAAACTGCCTATAGTTTGTACATGTGAGGATAGAGAAAACCAACACCATGGGACTGGTTTTCCTCTCTAGTCCGGTTTTGGACAAAATTTATCCGTTTTTGAAAGATGAGGGACTAAATGTCACACAATTTTTTTGAGGGGCGTGATCTAAACTTTCGGTAAATTTGAGGGACCAAAAACATACTTTTAATTTTGATTTTGTTTGCTAGCTTTCATCTTGTTTTTTTCTTATAAACCGACCAACTATGTATTTGTTTTTTTCTCTCTTAATGAAATCGGCAGAGCTCCTGCCTTAGGCTGGTCATAGTGGGAGTAACTAAGCAAGTAACATAGCGCATTCCAAGACAAGTTTGCTTATGTGGCATATAGTTAATGAGGAGAGAGGTGTTTGGAGTAACATAATATGTTACTGTAACATAACGCAAACTAAAGCAAAATGAGTCTATAATATAATAAATGCAATCATCTATGATACTACTTGTATGTTAGTTTGCACTATAAAGGTAGTAATAAAGACTAGTGTCATATGCATGACACTAGTCTAAGTTACTCCTCACTATGACCAGCCTTACTCGTCAAATAAAATATAGCCTTTGTCAAATGTTTTTCTCCTTAAGACTAGCCACAATGAAAAGTAACATACACTAGTAACATACACATATCCCTAGACTAAGTTACTAACTTCATGGTGGGTAGTAACTTAAGTGTGGTAACATGCAAAGATTTATTTATTAGGTTATAGACTCATATTGCATTGGGACATGTGATGTTACAGTAACTAGCTAAGTTACTACTACAACTAGCTCTCTCCTCATTAACTCATTGCCACATAAGCAAATTTGCTGAGTTGGACCCGATATTACTGCTGAAGTTACTTCCACTGTGGCTAGTCTAAGAAAGTTGCGCATGATCGCAAATCGAAGTCCATGTTTTCCGAGCAACCAACAGAGTGGTGCAAAGATAATAGAGTTTCCAATTAATTATGAGAAAACCGGTTAACGAGATACATAATGTCAAGGCTGCACCAGTCTTCTTTGTACTACCATGTTTGATTATGAATAGATCAGAAAATTCTCTCTCCCTCTCTCTCTAAAAAAAGGCCGCACCATTCGAAAAAGTGTAGCAAGAAGAAATTCAGGCTCATCTGGATAATGATCTTAATACCACTCAAGTAGTTATCATGAGAACATTCGTTTCTCATTAACGTACTTACAATCACACCACTTTGGAAGTACACTATTTTGGTTCCCTCTACCGTTTTCAGTTAACACGACGGATGGCAAACAAAGGAAAATGAAATCAGCAGCACCGGTGGTACTGGTACACCGGCCGTTTAGAGCAACAATTACTTGAACATGTAATTTTTAGTGAACACGTGATAATTGGTTGATTAATTAATTAGAGCTTTTAGGCATATTCTGTCCATGAGGATCTGTGCATCCATGCGACGGCCAAGCATAGATCAGTCAGTTGTGGAGAACGGCTTGTAGACCTTTAGATCGGACATTATCCCGGCGATGGAGCCGGCGGCGGCGGCAATGGTGATGATGAGGCAGGCGAGGCTGAGCAGCTGTAGGCACACCCACTGCGAGCTCCACCTGGGTATCTTCTTCTGCACGATGTACATCTCCACGGGGAAGTAGACGGTGAGCGGCCAGAACCCGATGGCGCCGAGGAAGCCGACGACGTCGTTGAAGAAGGGCAGCAGCATCGACACCACCGTCGTCGCCACCACGAACGCCGACCGCCACGTCAGGCGGAAGAGGTTGAGCTTGAAGCCGGAGGAGACGAGCGGGACCTGGATCTCTCCGGTGATGAACCCTGACTTGGGCCACCTCTGCTGCGCCCACTTCTCGACGAAGGCGAACAGGGGCTGGCAGTAGACCTGGTAGGCGCCGACGAGGTGGACGACGATGGCGGCGTTGGCGATGTCGAGGAGCCAGAAGGGCTCGTAGAAGCCGAAGCCGGTGAGGAGGTTCCCGGGTGCGTCGTCGCCGAAGGCGGCGTAGCCCATGCAGCCGCAGAGCATGTAGAAGAGCGTGGTGGTGGCGACGCTGACGAGGGTGGCGCGGCGCATGACCTTGGCCTCGGACGGCGGCGGCGCCCTGATGGTGTCCTGGATCTCGATGAGGATGAGCGAATAGGAGTAGGCGAAGGCGATGTCGCCGAACGCCTGGAGGCTCCGCCAGACCTTGTCGATGGGCGTGACGGCGCCGATGCTGATGCCGGTGAGGCTGCCCTTGACGCCCTTGTTGGCGACCACCTGGACGATGCCGAGGCCGAGGCCGATGGTGGAGTAGGTGAAGGACATGATGGCGGCCAGGATGGAGAGCCAGGAGATCTGGTCGAAGTCCGGGATCTGCGAGAAGAAGATCTGCGCCACGCCGAAGATGACCATGTAGGGCGTGCTCGAGATGTGGCACGGGTTCACGTGCCCCTTGACGTGGAAGCAGTTGGCCCTCTTGATCGCACTGCATCATACAGTTCACAAGCGACGGTAAGTTCACGTTCACCAGCTAGCACAGATCAAGACCATGGTTGCAGAAAGTTTTGGGTGCTCACAGCATGCTAATGGAGGCGGCGATGGTGTATCCGATGGCGACGCCGACGATGTTGGCGTACTGCAGGAATCCGCAGAGCTGGACCTTGATGCCACCTGCTCGACGGAACGGCAAGAGAGAGAAGCAGAGTGAGCTCTGCTCTGCATGCATGCATGCATGTAGCTGCGAATTACGCGAGCTCGGGTGAACAGTAGGAGGCATGCAGACGTACTGAGGTTGGCGTTGACGGCGTCCATGTAGGTGTAGTTGCGCTTGCCGGTGGTCTCGTCGCCGTAGCGGTAGCAGTCGGAGAGCAGCGAGGAGGTGTAGTAGGTGACGAGGGAGAAGAGCAGCATGACGGCGGGGCCGGCCACCCAGCCGAGCTGCCCGATGGCCCAGGCCAGCGACAGCACCCCGGACCCGATCACCGCCGTGATGATGTGTGCGCTCGCCGTCCACATCGTCCCTGCGGCACACCAAAAGTCCATGTCAGTTTGTCCCGTCGCGCACGTTTGAGGCGGCCGTACCACATGATCGCAGTAGCATCTTTCTTTCTTCCTTACCGGTGCGCTTGAGGCGGCCGTCGTCGTCGTAGCACTTGGAGCCGCCAGCCTGGCCGTGCTCCACGGAGGACACCTCCATGGCCGCCGCCGCCGCGCCCCCCTGCGGGTAGTAGTTCTTGCCCACGCCGTTCTCCCCCATCTCTGCACCAGCCACAACGCCCGATCGAGCAGTGAGATCACAGCTAGAGCACACAGTACAGGCCGATCGGTATCTCGTTGTACCTCAGGTAAGTAGCACCGCGACTACAATATATAGCGTCAACCAAGGTGTGGAGGGTGGCTGCCGGCTAGTGAGCGGGACGCGGAGAGCGCCAAGACTGCTCGCGGGGTGGAATTCAAAGGCGGCCGGTTTACCGCTCCACTAGACCGACCGAGGTCGTATAGTGGGCGGGGGTGAGCGAGTGCAGTGTGAGGAAGAGATAAGAGCGGGGGCGGCGATTTATAGGCGCCTGCCTGGAAGGTTGGTGGGTGTTCGTTCATCCGGGTCTGGGCTCGAGGAGGTGGGGACGCTGAGCTAGGGAATTTTGTAGCGTACACCAAGGGTATTTAGCATCTGTTCTCGGCGATCTTTAAGTTGAAACCGATGTTAGGGGCTGGTAGAGCATTGCCTGATGCCTCTATTATGTGAAGAGGAATATGTCATAGCGTGTCTCTCGCCCACTTGGGCCGATCGCATGTGTAGATGTACGACGGTTCGGAGATCAAGTGGCGTGCATGCATGCATGGGTGTAGCATGCAAACTTGTCGTTTATTGGTACATATCTCTGGTGTGTGTGTGTGAGAGAGAGAGAGACCTTGGGCTATCTAAGAAAAAAAAATCCAATTTAAAAGAAAAACAAATTTACTCAGCTAAAATATTTTGCTGAATTGATGGCCAGGGTTTTTGCAGAAGAATGGACCACGCGAGGCTCCTCTAGCTAGTGGCACGAAGGGAAAAAACGTGGCCGATCGGTGTAATGGTTGGACCCCTCCTCCCCCTCCTCTATCTCCTACGGGCACACATGTCAACTTGCCTCTTGCCCTCTCTCCTCACTACAGCTATAGCTGCATTGGTCAGCGAGAACAGCGCGCCTAGCTAGCTAGCAAGTTGTTACACACGGCCCGATTGAAAACGATGACACATGCACCTGCACGCATGTGCATGCATGCCACCACGCAAGATCATCAAATATCTAAGCTAAGGAGGCGATGGAGTAACAAACATGCGCGGCATGCACCTTAAGATAAGATAGGATCGCCACAGTGCATGCATGCATGCATTGAGATTTCTTACCTTTGCAAAAATAGCCTCCTCTACTTGGTCTCCTCTCCCCTTGCAAGAGAGAGTCACGAGACAAGTTCGGGGCTATAAAGTGTTATGTCAAGAGACAAGAGATGGGGTTAAACTTGTTGTGATGGTGTGTTCAAGTGTGTCCAATGGTAATGGTATTTATAGGGGTGGGCAGGGCTGGCTTTAGGGTGTACAACGTGTTTCTGGCATTTTTCATGCATGCATGGCTTGGCTGGATGATACTGTACTGTACGCTCAAGGGAGGCCCTCGGGTGTTTGTACCCCACAGGTTCTCGACCATCCTTTTTGCCGCGGCGTAGAATATGTTCGGTGCCCCTCTCGGCCACGAGATTAAGTAAGTTGATCGCCCACTAGGGATCGTATCACGATCTGCTTGTTCCCGGCCAGATGCGTCGTGAAAATAAGGGAAGACTTCGCGCCCATGGTTTCTCACATTTTTTGCAAAATGTCGAAGTGTGTGGCTCCTAACGGCAAGTACAGGGGTGATTTAGCGGTGAGAAGTGAAATGCTGGAAATGATATTTGCTCGGCCTGGATTTGCTTGTCTGGCGAACATATCCTGTTCGTACCGTTGTTGTGGCCTTATCCTACAGAACTCCCGCTGATCATGGATGCTTACAAAGCAGCTCGGCTGATTGATGCCTAGACTGTAGACGTCTCATGTTTGCAACGAGCAACCAAAGTGTTAGCGGTGTGCTAGCTAGCAGTAGTAGTTTAAATTCGAGAAATAGAGTCATTAGTTGGTGAAGGCTCAATCCACAAATCTCTTAGGAGTCACGTAGTCTAGCTATAAGAAAAGTAGAGGCCGCCTAAGATTTGTTTACCGAAAACTAGGTTAAACGGATAGTGAAGATTAAGTACAGAGAAAGTTTGGAGCTAGTGTCCTTATTATCCCGAGCTCAAATGCTTTTGCTATAAACAGTATATTTTTTTACAGCAAACATTGCTTACTTTTCTGAGTGTGTGAAGATATTGGTGGTGAAATCACATTCATGAGGTTTGGGGAAAAATAACAAGCCAGCCTTTCAAAAATGCTTTCAGAAATGGTCCGAAACAGAGCACCTTGAGGCGCCCTTGGGAAACCAGGGTTTCAGCTAACCGAAAGTTTTGCTCATCCGGTAGCGTCCGGTAAGAGTGTGCGTGGCTCTGAAGCGGGGTCGACACGCCGAGTGGCCTTGTTGGACTAGTTTTACCTTAGGTGGAGGACTTGATGCTTCCGACTCCTTTGAACCAATCTAGGTTGTCATGGTCCTGAATTGGGAGGAACGGGTGTGCATACCATACTTTATAATGGATGAGTTGGAGCATCCCTACAGAGTTAAATCTTTCGAAAAGCCGTGCCCGCGGTTATATGGCGACTTGAAAATTTGTAACATCCGATTGTAGAGAACTGAAACTAACAACTAAAACTTGCCAACCGTGTGCGTATCGTGATTGTCACTTCTTGTGAGATCGGGATCAAGAAGTGGACACAGTGGGATTATGAATGACTCCTAGGTTGGTGTTCAGGATCACTTATTGATCATTCTAGTTGCGCGCCCTTATGCGTAGGAATTACTCTTCTAGTACTCATAGGACTAGATGGTTTACAAATGCTTAGTGTCTGCTGCAATCCTCACCACTTAACCATATCCAACCCATTAAGTATTGTTAGTCTTGATATCCTTGGTAATGTTATTGTTGAGTCTCAATGACTTACGGATACTGCAGCAACATCAGGCGCAGTTACATGTAAAGTGATGCTCTAACATGAGAGCGATGTATCTTCTATTTGGAGTTCTTCTTCTTCATTGTCGATTATAGGATGGTATCCCAGTTGGCGCCTGGGATTAGCAGGGTGGACGTTGCTTTATTTATTGGGGGCCCTCTTTAGACCAATTTGCTTCTAATCCGCTACTTGGATTTTGCCTTCTAATTGATGCTTGGAATGTGTTGTTGGGTCATGTGACCTCTGATTGGTGATTTGGCTGTGTGCCTATGTTTGACATTTGTATGCCATACTACTACTCTTGTATTTTCATCTCTTCAGTTGATGTCGTATTTGTTGTGATGTCATCCTTGTTACAGATATGTGACACTTGCGTGTATGATATTAGTCAAATGTTGGGGCATTACTAATATGCGCTTCTATCCTTAGCGAGACTTGTAAGTCTGCGTTCGGGCTAGAACCGCATGTTGAGTGTTACACCACCCCTTTCTTTTACGACACGGAGCGTTCAGCTACATAGTGTGAAAAAGCGTTTGATGCAAGATTGTCGTGGGTTGTCATGTGTAAAATAAGGTCTGTTGGCATAACCGCATGAACAAGCCCAAGTGCAAGAAAAGGAAAAGAAAAAAGGTACAGATTCCGGAGAGCCAACAATCAATGTCTAGGAGGTGAAGCTAAAATGCGTATTCGCAAAACAAGATCAATCATGCCACCTAGTCGGTCCTTGTCCCGCTGCCTACAGACCGGGTGTGAGAGCTACAACAACGTGCATTGGCAATGCCGCGTCACCGACTACTCCATCGGCCCCCTCGAGATATGCGTCATCTATGAGGGCACCTTTGATAAGTTCATCGACAACACGCTCAGCCACGGCACGCCGTTCAACCAGTACATGGCACCGCGGTGAGGGCATGCACGTGAGTCCCAATTTCCTCAATTGGATCTGTTGGTGTATGATAATCCCCAAGTGCATGGAATCATCGTAGCAATTTTCAAAGGTGGAAGTGATAAGTATGAAGTGTCGAACCCACAAGGAGCTAAAGGTAAGATCAATATTCTCCCAAGTCCTATCTGCCACTGATATGACTCTACGTACACCGAACGTTTGCTTCCAACTAGAAACGATAAATAAAACTACATTGTGGGTATGAAGAAGATAACTTTGCATGGTATCGGAGAGATAATATATAAAAGTAGGTGTTGTTATCATAAAGTTAGAATATATTACTAAATATTATAAATAGCGAGTGTGGAATAATGATGGATCGGTGTGTGGAAGTTTCTTAGGCAATTGTTAACAAGACCGATAGTCGCCATTGCAATTTCATATGAGGGAGAGGCATAAGCTAACATACTTTCTGTTCTTGGATCATATGCACTTATGATTGGAACTCTAGCAAGCATCCGCAACTACTAAAGATTATTAAGGTAAAACCCAACCATAGCATTAAAGCATCAAGTCCCCTTTATCCCATACGCAACAACCCCCTTACTCGGGTTTATACTTTTGTCACTCAAGCAACCCACTATAAGCGAATCATGAACGTACTGAAACACCCTACAACGGGAATCCCTCACGCTTGCGCGACACGAAGGGCACAATAGGACAACACCAATATAAAACATACAACTCATACCAATCTAGATCATCAATCAACCCAAAGACAAAGGATATCTACTCAAAACATCATAGGATGGCAACACATCATTGGATCATAATTTGTGGCATAAAGCACCATGTTCAAGTAGGAATTACAGCGGGGTGCGGGAGAGTGGAACGTGTAAAAGAGATGAGGATGTTGATGATGATGGTGATGTTGATGAAGACGATCACCGCGACGATGATTCCCCTCCCGATGGCACTCCGGTGCCACCGAGAGAGAGGAGGAGAGGTTCTCCCCCTTGTGCTTCCTCCTCCATGGCCTCCCCCTGGATGGGGAGAGGTTCTCCCTCTGGTCCTTGTCCTTCATGGTGATGATGGCCCCTCCGGGATCCTCCTCCATAGCCTCCGGTGATGATGGCCCCCTCCGGCAGGGTGCCAGAGAGGGCCTAGATTGATTTCTCGTGGCTACAAAGGCTTGCGGCGGCGGAACTTCCAATCTAGGTTAATTTCTGGAGGTTTGGGTATTTATAAAAGAGGT